GTCCCCGGGCCGCACAGGGGCTCCCTGCAGGCAGCAGCACAGCGAGGGTTGCTGGAAGCGAGTTATCAGGTCTGAGGGGGATGGAAGGGGTGCAACAGGCAAGGGGCCAGGGGGCTGCTCACATGGGGAGCGTGGGCAGAGGGGGCGGTTTGCGTGGGTGAAGGACGCGAGGCAGCATCACGGTCTTACGGTGATTCACAACAGTCTCGGAGAGAGGGAAATTCCAGGTATTTAGTTACGGTTTTGTTGTAGCCATGCCAGCTTGAACCCTGAAGTTCCTCCTCGCGGGAGGCACCCCAGGGGACGCTCCAAAGGAAAGACCAGCCCTCTTAGCCACGGGCTTTCAGCAGGGGCCCCAGGCACAGCAGCCAGGGGCTTTTTGGACCACATCTGAAAACAGCCACAGCACCACAGTGATGCCCCCATCTTGTAAAGCACATCCCCCGCAGAACTGAAAACAAAGTATTTGGCTCCTAAATGCAAATTGCAAAGTGAAGGAAAAGTGGGAAAAGCGCGCTGTAGAATGGATGAAAGCCACAACTCTTCTGCGTGGGTCTTTGGTTGTAAATATGCAACAGGACGCTAAAGACAAGGTCAGGCTAAAAGAAACCACAAATCACAGATGTACATGAATTCCTCGATGGGCATGAAGCTTTGGGTGTAGTTAAATGCTTTACGGCCTGAATTACCAGGAGGACAGAGATGAAGTCTCCAGTCTGGAGACAGAAGGGACCTAGAAGCCCAAGACAGCTCACATTCCTTGCGGTACAGCTCCACAGAGGATGCCACAACCCATCGTCTGAGAAGCTTACCATACGCTGGTGGTTTTCAAAGAAATCCCTCGTGAATCGGTATCAAAGCATTGCGGCAGGCAGGTTGCCGAGATGTGGATTTTGGGATCAGTTATGGCCAGAGGCACATTCGGAGGGGAAGTGGCTGCAGTCTTGCAAGGTTGTCTTCCCTTCAGTTATTTATTTCCACTCAGCATGCACAGAGCTCTGCAACAACAGCTGAATTCACAAAATCTCACCATTTTAGGATACATATAGACCACATCAGAATAATAAAACCTATGGGGGGTTGAATCAAATTCAATATCAGAACGAAAGAAAGAACAGATGTGTAGGCCTGAACCCCCACCACGATTTTCCCTGGAAATGGCTACGCCGAAGAAGAGCAGAAGTGTGGATGCATATGCCACATTCCCAAAATTGCCCGGGTCTCACCTCTGTGCCCTACAGAATGGACTGGGCTGCCAGCCAAGCTGTTAGCATCAAAGAAGTGTGACTTGAGGTGGTTGAAAAGCCACAAAAATGACAGAGCCCTCTGACCATGAATGTCATCAGAAGGAACCTAAAAAGGCCGTAATTAATACAACAGTTCTGTTCATTTTCTCAGTCTCCCCGAGACGTTACCACGCCTGCTGGCAGAGCAGAAAAGCGGTAACGTATCCCCTTCTCCGCGTGCCGGTGGGAAGTCAGGGCGGTTACCAGCATCCCAGTGTATCAGCACAATAAAAACGAAAAAGAAGAAGTTGCAATTTTCACTCTTTTTTCCCCTATAAGATTGCAAACCAAGCCACATTTAAATTTACACAAGTCTTAAATAGTCGTTACTTCTTCGTTTTCAGTTAACAGGTTGGCTTCGATTGCTGACCAGGCAACACTTAGCGTACAGAGATGGAGAGAAACAGCCTTTCACCAACGGTTGGATGCCACCCCCAGCTTTCAAACAAAGCTTAATTTCCCCCAAAGGTCACTTCAGCCTGGCTGCTTTTCAGTAGCGAAACGTTCAGCCCGGCAGGGTCACCAAGAGAAGTCAGAACGGTCTTTGGCCCGTGGGCTCACCCAGTTCCTGCCAGACCGGCCTCCAGCCTCCCGTGGCCCCTGCGCCTCTGCCGGGGCGCAGCCAC